CCTCGAACAAGATCTCCGATCTTGCAAAGTCTTCCGACGGGGGTCCAGAGTACTTGGGGATATCAGAACTTTCTGAAGCTATGGTTTATACTTTCTTGCAAAAGAAATAAAGAAAGATAACAGTAATCAGAAATCGGACAACACCTCAGCTAAAATGTTATCAACGCAGACTTGATCAAAGCTGTAGGACTGTACTCCCCACTGAATTTTGCCCCAAAACAGATACAAACTGTGCCACTAATGTGAACATTCTTGTACAGTTTCAGTGTAAGCATATACCAGTTAAAGAGAGCCAAACACCCCTACGAGGGAGTAGGGTTGCCCTGTCCTAGTTTTGACATGAACTAGGGCTTCACTACTTCAAGCAAGTAGTTTCACACAATCCTGCATACAGGTGAGCATCCTATCTTAATTTGGAATGGCGACTATGGCTTTACTATATGCAACTAGGTCGAATGGTCAAAAAGGGTACCTCAGCAAGACTTCATAATATACCTCTCACATCTAACACCGAGAAATGAAAGGAGGATCAAACAGTACAGTGGTAGTCTAGATCTGAGGGTTGTGTTTCCAACATGGTAAAGCCCATGACCGATCATCTTTTTGACAAGCTTTTTAGGCAAGTCTCCGACAAGCTGTCCAGGAATAGCAAATAGAAAATACAATGACTTAGAGTAACAATACAGATGCAATGCAAAGAATATATATCTGTAAATAAAATGTTACATCATGAAGTCCAAGTCAAGTTCTCTACTTTCCCCAGCGGAGTCACTAGAAATTGTAGCTTGCGTTTCATGTTCCTCGAAGGAGTTTAGTCTCTTCGAATACAATAGCCCTACAGTTTGGACTCCCGTGGTTCTGAATCTAATTTCACAAGTGCAATGTGAAACAGTGAAAATGGGCAAATCTTTGAAAAATTGATTTACAATAAAAAAATACCAAAATGGACTGCATTGCCAGATTTCAGAGTCACCACCTAAATATTGTTGAGAAATTTAGGAAACTCGTGACTCGTGCCAATGGCCACTTGTCCATCATCACTAAAGTGTCTCGACTCGAGAACTTAGATATGAGAGGAGAAGATCATGATTTGAGCACCCCACTCACCTGATCAAAGATCGACCTCTATTAATCATAATATGATTTTTTATGTATAGTATACGTTCTTGTTCTGATTATTATGCTAACTTCACTATGTGATGCACATAAGTATAGACTAATTTCACAAAATTTGGAATGTTTTGATTTAATGTTTGTTTTGAAAAGTGTTTTGAATACGTACTACTTAAAAAAGTGATCTCATATGTTCATTAATCAAATCATCCCAACTTAAGTCAAAAAGCTTTCATCCACCAGCATTCGAACATGAGTATCAACTAGCACTTAGCCTCATGGTAAAAATGCTTGATATAGGAATACTAACATACATGAAATATGCTAAAGCAATAAATACTCACCTAGTACTCTGAGGTAAGCTAAAGGAAATAAAACAATTAGAAAAATGCATGCTCTAATATGCAAGTGACTAATACAACACATACAAAATGCAACTAATGGGCTCAGCTACTAGCATGACATGTGAGTCAATTCAAAACATACAACAAAGGACGTATTCGAGTAAGAAATTTGAAGTTGACATTGATAAGTATGATGAGCCGAACCCTTATGCATGCAAAACGAATGGATGCAGGTCATGACAAATGTTATGGAAAATATGATGCTACATGCAATCCATCATAAGTAAATAAAAGGGAGAAAGAAATGTGGGTTGGAAGACATACACAGATTATTACATATTTGCCCTCGCGTAGGAAGGTCCGAATAAATGTCCAGATTAAACTAACTATTACAAACTAAATAAATAAGCTAATTAACTAGCTATTACAGATTTGAATTAAGTAACTAATTAATTACAACGCACTAATATTAAATTAATGGACAACGGAACTCGAAGAGTCGCATGCGCGCAAATGGTGACATCCTCCTGGAAACCTCTCAGTTTCACTGCCAGATTCTGTTCTATATTGCAGTCAGAAAAATAATCTATTTTTGCCCTAGCTTCTGCTCTGTTCTGCCATGAAAATGGCAATGCTTGCATAAAATAAAATGGTCAGTCGGCCTTGAAAAGTGGTCAGCCGGGTGATAGGGTGGCCAGCCGGCCATTGTTTTTTAGTACTGCCCTGTTGCAACAGAATGGAAACAAAGCAAAAACATAGTGTTTTCAGGGGATGTTTATCCTTTTTGCCCCTTCCTATCATAGAATTTATCAAGGGAGGAGTAAAATCGGTTCACAAATCATCAATGATCACAAGGTTATTGCATGATGATATATGAATCAATAGGACAAAGGCTCAATGAATGCAAATGGGAGACCAACAAAACCTCCTCCCTATCACAGAGTTACCTCAAGGGGGAGTGGTAGACATTGATTCTTGAGCCATTATCATCACTAAATTTTTAAAGAAAAAAGTGTAAACCGCAAACCGCCCGCAACCGCCCGCACATTTGCAAACCCTATCCGCACAAACCGCAAACCGCACTGCGGGCGGTTGCGGGTTGACTTTTTTCCAAACCGCATAGATGCGGGCGGGTCAAAACCGAACCGCAAACACTACAACAAAAGTAACCTATGGTGACGAAAAGTAGTGAAGAAAATAAATTTTGTCACTAAATAAGAATAATCCGTGACGAATTATAAAATTTTGTCACATATAACAAAAACATAAAAATAATAGGTGACGAAATTTATTTTCGTTAACAAATACTTCTTTTTAGGTGAGGAAAAATTAAGTTTCGTCACCGAAGGTTTTCCTGCTAATTTTTTTTTGGTAACGCCAAAATTTTGAGACTTTTGGTGAGAAAAAAATTTGTCACCAATTGTAAAATTATTATTGAGGAATATATTTTCGTCACCAATAATTTTTTTTTATATATTTTTTGAGAAACTTGATTTTAAATATTTTAAGACCATTTGGTGAGAAATATATTTTGTCATTAATAATTTTTAATATTTTGAGACTTTTTAGTGAGGAAATTATTTTGTCACTAATTTTGGAGGGAAAATTTTGACATATTGGGCGATAATGAAAAAAATAGACTACTTACTTCCCCCTCCCCCCCTTTTTTTATATCAGTTTTCCTCTCCCCTCTCTCTCTGTCTCTCTCTTTCTCTTTCTCTCAAAACAAAACACAAGTTAATTAGCCCTTTAAGTAAACGAAAAGTAGTGAAGAAAATAAATTTCGTCACTAAATAGAAATATTCCATGACGAATTATAAAATTTTGCTACATATAATAAAAAATTGAAAATAATAGGTGACGAAATTTATTTTCGTTAGTAAATATTTCTTTTTAGGTGAAGAAATATTAAATTTCATTACCAAAGGTTCTATTTCTAATTTTTTTGGGTGGTGCCAAAATTTTGAGACTTTTGGTGAGAAAAATATTTATCACCAATAATAAATTATTAGTGAGGAATTTCGTCACCAATAATTTTAAATATTTTTTTTTGAAAATTTTGATTTTAAATATTTTGAAACTATTTGATGAATATTTTCGTCGTCAATATATTAACATTTTAAAATTTTTGGAGAAAAAATTATTTTATCACTAATATTGGAGGAAGAAGTTTGTGATATTAGCGGTAACGAAAAAAAAAAAAACCCTACTAATTTCCCTCCTCCCTTTGTTTTGGTGTTTCAGTTTTCCTCTCATTCTTCTCTTGCAAAACACACGTTCTCTGCCATCAGCCCCCCTTCTCCTCCTTCAGCGTCGCCACCGGCATCACCCGTTCTCCTTCAGTGCCACCACCGACGTCACTCGCATTCTCCTCCGAGCAATCATTAGCGCCGCCAATGTTGCTTATTCGAAAAATAAAATTTTAAATTTTAAAAAATTAAATATATATATTATATCTAACTAAACAAAAATTAAAATATATATATATATATATACATATATAATTCACTCCACCATTGAAAAATAAAAGTTTACTTGAGATTATTGTTTGAAAAAAAAATTCTTTAAAACATAATTTTTTTTAGATCATCAGACCACTTGGTCTGTCTCTCTTTCCAGCCTTTTCATTCTCTCATCTCTCTCTCATTTTTGCTCTCCCAATCCAGAACCTTCTCATCACCGACCCCCTCACTCTATCTCATCAACGACTGTGAGAGTCTTTCTCCCAATCCAGAACCTTCTCTTCTCGTTGTCGATCGGTCTCTCATAGTCGACATCCTACCCCCTCTTTCTCTCCATCTCTTTCATCTCCCTTCGGTGAACAACAGTTGACGAGGATCTAACATCACAAACCCCTCTTCGATGAACATCAGTTGACGAGATCAAAGATCACAAACCCTCATCGCAAATCGGAGCCCTATTCATAGATCACATATTACAGGCCCAAACTCGCAAGCATATTGAAATATAGGTATTTCTTGTTTAAAATTTACATTAGATTTTGGAATCTTTGCTTGAGATTGTTGTTGTTTGGTTGAGATTTGTTGAAATTTGTTTGAGATTACCAATAATTTTTTTGAAATTGATTAATGCTGTTGCTTTCGGTGAATTTGTTTTTTTTTTTTTAAATAAAAAAGTTTGTATGAATCTGTTTAAAACAAATCCACAAAAAAAAAAAATTTGTTTAAAGAATTTTGTTGTTAATTTGGCGAAATTTGTTTGAAAAAAAATTAACTATGTTTCAATTGACAAGGTGTGCCAGGATGCATTTGATTTGATCCTATGCCTGTGAATTAATAGACAATGTGATTTATAGGCAACAAGCTCATCCTCAATTAAATGTTTAGGTTCACTCCATAGAAATAGAAATTGAAGATGACAGTTATGTGGGTATGCCATTTGTCCTTGTGTTAGGTGGGAAGTGGATATTAAATGTTTAGGTTCACTCCTTAGAAATAGAAATTGAAGATGACAGTTATGTAGGTATGCCATTTGTCCTTATGTGAGGTGGGAAGTGGATAACGAATGATGGTTTAGACATCTATGTTAAATTTGATACTGGATACAAGCAGGAGCAAAAGGTTGCTTTTTAGAAACTTGATTTTAAATATTTTAAGACCATTTGGTGAGAAATATATTTTTATCACTAATAAATTTTAATATTTTAAGACCTTTTAGTGAGAATATTATTTTGTCACTAATTTTGGGAAGAAAATTTTGCAATATTAGGCAGTGAGAAAAAAAAATAGACTACAATTTTTCCCTCTTGTTTATTTTTGTGTTTATTAGTTTCTCTCTCGTCTCTGCCTCTCTCTCTCTCTCTCTCAAAACAAAACACAGATTTAGTGGTGGCAATGGGATCCTACCCTATAGGTATTCATGTGGATCCTATCCACATATATGGATTTTCCCTATTTTTTTTACCCATCGGATTAATTAAGCGGGATTTTTTAAAAACCCATAGGATATGAGTTGGGAATGGGTACCCGCTCATTTCCCATTTCCTTGTGTTTAGGGTTCTTAATCTCACGGTCTTCTCAATCTCATTCTCACTCTCACATAGCAGCGAAGGCAACGATCTGCATCGGATTTGCGAAGGCTATGATCTCCATTGGATTTGCGAAGGCAACGATCTAGCGGCGGCGATCTCCGTCGGCGTTACCACGGTGGTTCTCCAGCGTGGTGAGTTTCTCTATCTCGTTCTCTTGTTCTGTTTGTGTTGACAAATTCATCTATTCGATCCTCTTCCTTCTCTTCCACTCTTGTTCTGTGTATTTTCCCGTCGTAATTTGCATTATTATTTTTTTTTTCTTTTCCTTTTCCTTTTCTATCACTTTCTCAACTTCCAAACAACACTGTTTAGGTTTCCCCCCTTTCTCAGGGAGGTTGGTTAAGAGAGCATATGATGCATTGTTGTTGGACGCTGGTGGCACTCTTTTGCAATTGGTGAAACCTGTCGAAGAGATTTACGCATCAATCGGCAGAAAATACGGTTAGCTTCACAGAGTTGTTGCTTTAATTCTTGGAAATTTTAACTCAATGTTGTTTAGAGCTATGGATTTAAATCATTTGTGAATTATGATGCATTTGGAGATTGTTAGGTTTGATTTCTCATGTGGAAGATGAAATTTAATTACTATCTATCTATTTTCTTGGGACTTTTGCAGAGTTATACATAAAATGCAATTAAACAAAAGCTATGGATTTAAATCAGTTGTGAATTATGAAGCATTTGAAAATTGTTAGCTTTGACTTCTCATGTGGATGATGAAATTTATTTACTGTCTATCTATTTTCTTGGGACTTTTGCAGAGTTATACATAAAATGCAATTGAACGAAACCCTTTTTAATTCAAATGAATTGTAGAAGTCGTTAATTAATTAGGACTAAAATGTATAACAATGTAAGGTTCTAAAAGGCCAATGCAAATATTTTCCTGGAAAGTGTGTGAGTGAATGAGTGGCAGGTGTCCAGCCTAGGTCTCTTGCAAGTGGGATTGCAACAAAATTATAAACTGGACTTGCTATTTCACACATTTTGATTGTTAACCAAGTGTAGAATATATAATAATATAATATAATATATCTGCAAAAGTAATATGAATTCAGAAAACATAAATATAATAAAAGTATCTTCAAAAAGTAATATGAATTTAGAGAACAAAAGACAAGTTTGCTTATTGTTTACTGTTTGTTAATTTCTAGTTGGTCATAACAGATAACTTTTTCTTGGACATAATCATGTTGGTTGTTCTTTTGTTTAGTCGAAATCAAACATTGTACACTTTTAACTTTTTTATGTTTGGCCCCCTCTTACTTTTCTAGAAAAAGGAAATTTGGCTGTCACAGTGGGCGAAAATGCAAAACAATCCCTGAACCAATGTATGCTGTCACAGGCAGCATCCTTGTGATTTGGCTTTTTGGGCGAAAATGCAAACAATCCCTGAACCAATGTTAGCACTTAAATTGTCTGTTTATTTTTTTTTTTTCTAATCACTCACACAGGTTTGATTCTTGACTGTTTTATTTTATTTTTCCCTCCAAAATACTATGTATATTTCTTGAGAAAAGATTATCTGCTTGTTAAGAGACTGACATTGGATTGAATCTGTGTTTCTGTTTTGTATTTGACAGGGTTGAATAGTCACCTACATGTTGCAGGTAAAGCTTCCATTTTTTCACTTTTGTTCCCTAGGATGCTTTTTGGTCTCACAGTTAGCACATGTAGATTTTATCAGTTTAGGGTATAGCTAATGTTACCTGAAATTAAAAAAAAAAAATGCTAAAGCCAGGGGGTTTTATTGGATAGGGGTAAAACAATGTATCCTTAGTTTAAGTACAGCAGAGAGAATCTAATCTAGTGTAATATCACACATATTATTATTTAAGTATTCATAGTTTCTTCCATATTAAAAAGATGAGAGAGGTCTGAGAGATATCCTTTGTGCATATGTCCACTAACATCTATTAGTCAATTTTCTCTTTCCTTAAAGCATTCTTCATCAGTGGGACTCTTGGTTTCAGCTAGTGGCTTTGATTTCCTTTAGCGCAGTTCTCTTGATTTAGACTATAAACTGTGTATTTTGCAGTCATATTTTTGGAAATGCTATTAAAAGTGGCAGTCTGTTAGCCAGATTAAAATGGTGTGCATAGTTTCTTGTTTGTATGATGCAGTTTTCTTTCTTTTTTATTTTTTTATTTTTTATTTTTTTGGGTATAGTAAATGGTGGCAGACAAGAAAGAATTTTAAACTGAAATATTGTAATTTATTTACAATTCTTCCTTGTATTAGTCAGAGGGGTAATTTGTACAAAACTAGTATGAATATGAGGGTTAAGGGAGAGAATCCATAATTTTTATTATTCTCTCATCTCAATAATGTGTTCCTTTTCCACTCTCTTCTCGTTTTACACCATATTCAACTTGGTATCAAAGCTTTGAATTTGGCGTTTTTGGAATACAACCAAAACTGCTGTAATGTAATTTTTTTGCTCTCCATGATCAACTAGGAGAGCTGATTCTTCTTATATTTTTCATTTTTCATTTTTTAATCTAAGCTGTCTAGATATATATTTTCTTCATTTCTCTATTTTTCAACAAGAATGGGTATTTTTTTCAGGATCTGTTCATCGAGTCCTGTTCAGAGCAATTTTCTGGGTTTTCTGCTACTAGGAATGCTGACTAGGATCATGGATGTATTACCCTAGATCCCCGAGTCCTGGTTGATGGTTTTGATGCTCTAGGTGTTTTGGTTGATAGAGCAACTTTAGTCATTGCATGTTTTCTAATGGCCTAGTGTAGCTTTGAATTTTTATTTATGAATTATGAAACTTGTGAATGGGACAAGTGTATCCATCTTCATCTTTGATAGATTGCAGAACATGGAGATTGATTAAAGCTATTAATGTGAAGCCAACAGAAACTAGGACTTGTCCTTCTCATGGCTGGTTAGTTTGCCAACCAAGTGGATTGGCACAAAAAGTTAGCACTAAGATAACTTCTATCGACATATTTATTGGGGTTGAGTTTTATTTCTTGTTTTGAGAAGTTTTATTTAATTTCTGGAGAAGTTTTATTTAATGAAAAAAGGCCATTGGAGACAAAGAGAAATGTATATTTTGGAGAGAAAGGTAGTAATGTTGGTTGTTGTTGCAGAGGAGGAGTGGGAGGGGAAGAAGTTTATATATGGCATGATTGAGGGAGGTTCTTGCATTGCATGAATAAAATGAGAAGAGAAAGCAGAGTTACAAGCAGGGAGGTTCTTGCATTGCATGAATAAAATGAGAATGAAAGTAATCCAGATTTATTCCCCATGATGCTTTCATTTCTTATATTTGGTAAAGACACAAGTTTTTAAATTTTGAATGTGAATTTACTATCTGTATTTTAATGCAGATTTTGATTTACTACTTGGCATGTAAGTTTGTATCCTGGATCTGTTGTTAGGTTTTGTTCATCACTCTATCACCTACATGGGAGGCCAATCAGAGAATTGTTAGAGACTTGCCTTATATCTCTTTTCTAAGACACACAAGCTTAGTGTATATATCTGTAGTCTAGTTCGGCTCCAAATCGAAACCGTAAATATAATCATGGACCAAATCATGACGTACATTTCACCAATTTTAAGATTAAAGGTTGAATTGTACATTGAGAAATTCAAACCAAATCATATAGTTTGGTCTAGATGATATTGATTTAAGATTTTTTCAGTTTTTTTGTCAGATCTAAAACTCAAGTCAACTTCTCAAAACAAGGCAACTTCTCATTTTTTCAATTTTTCTGTGTGCAGTACTAGTAGCAAGTCAACTTGTAAGATTTCCATACAGATGTGAATTGCATCACACATTAACGTGTATTTTAACGATTAATAAACTTGTAATGCGATGATTCCGACAATAGAATTGATCAATTCTATATATTTTAACTATTGATGAGCTTAGAGTTCTCAGATCTTAGATCTGCATTTTTTTAACTTCTAGTGAAGAAGTGAAGCTAAATCAGAAGAGAAGGCAGAGTTACAAGCAGGGAGGTTCTTGCATTGCATGAATAAAATGAGAATGAAAGTAATCCAGATTTATTCCCCATGATGCTTTCATTTCTTATATTTGGTAAAGACACAAGTTTTTAAATTTTGAATGTGAATTTACTATCTGTATTTTACTGCAGATTTTGATTTACTACTTGGCATGTAAGTTTGTGTCCTAGATCTGTTGTTTATTTTTGTTCATCACTCTATCACCTACATGGGAGGCCAATCAGAGAATTGTTAGAGACTTGCCTTATATCTCTTTTCTAAGACACACAAGCTTAGTTGATATAATCTAGAAACCTCTGCAAGTTTGCAACTATTGCCAATTGATTTTGGGTTAAATGCCTCCAAAATTCAACTCAAGCCTTAAAACATAAGCATAACAACTGACCACTCAGTTGATATTGATATTTTCAGCTCATGGAATTTATGATATATTGTATCATTTGCTTTCAGCTTATGATGCTCGTGGATTATGGTGGCTCAATTTTTCCAATCATTGCTCATTCCCCATGGAATGGTGTACACTTGGCAAACTTTGTGATGCTTTTCTTCCTTTTCATTGCTGGGGTTTCTCTTGCACTTGGATATAAGGTAGTGATTGTATATTTATCCAGGAAAACAAATCTTTTTGCCAAGAGATCTGTACCTTTTTATTCTTAAATTGGATAATTATCTTTACACGCTATGAAATTCCGGGTAATTATATACTGGCCTAACATCTGCACTCAATAATTTCTACACTCAGATAATGATTATTGAGGAAGTCAATCATTCAGCAATAAGACTCCCTTTTTTTTTAATGTCAGAGAGTTTCAGACAGAGTAGATGCTACACAGAAAGCATGGCTTAGGGCGTTGAAGCTTTTTTTCCTTGGTGTTTTTCTTCAAGGTAATATTGTGCACAACTTTCAACTTACGTCCTATAATACATAAATGTATCTAATTGGGCAGGGCAAAACACTTCGGGCAACTATATATAGACTTCCAACAATCTGTGATGGATGGCAAGTTTATTGTGGAAGACTTTTTCATTCTGTATGTTAAGTAAGTCAATCACTCAAATTCCACTTTAACTACAGAAGAAGAATTCTTGTAGTTAACATTCCTGGACTCTTTGTGGCCCTCAGCAACTGTTTTCTATTTCTAGTGGTCAATATTGCAATTGACATTATGTTTTATTTAGAACATTCATTTACCATGAATGATGGAAGTATAATTGCTGCAAATGTTAAAAATAATAAGCTTATTATCTACATCCATTTTGGTCATTGCTGTCACAACTCACCAAGCTAATGGTCCAGTTTTCCATTTTTTGCATTGTAGGTTGTTGCTCTCTCTCTCTCTCTTCAAAATTTTTTTAAATCCCATTTGTGCAGCAGCCACAATATTTGTTCCTTCCCATTCTCATTGACTGCATGCTTTGGTTCTTACCATGAGATGTTGTAGTGTTATAACTGGTTTGGCTGCTGTCCGTGGGTCACAGCCAGTTTTTGATCCGAGCATAATTCTAGGGATACAGTGAATTGCCATGTTAAGGTGATCATTGCAAAGCCCATGGGTGGGAATGAGCATGGTATTCATCTTTTTAGTTAATCTCTGTTAATTTCTATTCAAATAACTTCAAGCTTGTGATCTTGAGAACAGTTCTGTATATTTGTTAAGTTTCTGATATTGAAGTTGAATAAAAATAGAAATGGAAACTGCATAAAATTAAACATGGAAGTTCATTCATGAAACCACAACTCCTTAACGATCTATTTGGATATTAAATAAAAATGGAAATTGAATTGAGATGGAAATTTAATAAAAATAGATGTGGAATAAAAATAGAAAAGGAAACTGCATAAAATTAAACATGGAAGTTCATTCAAGAAACCACTATACCTTAACGATCTATTTGGAAATTAATACATGGACAACTGTAATTCACTCCACATAAGCACATAAACACATAAGCACTTACGAATTTCATTTCCGGATAATGATAGTCCCGAGGTGTTGCTAGAGTTCCGGTTAGAAACAGCATTGATCAAGTGCTTTTCCAACAAGACTCCCGGAAACCCAAGGATCCAATCAACATCCTAGAAACTACATTCCATACCCACATAGTCACATAAGCATGTTATAAATTAAACACATAACATTACATCTAAGTCTCTAATCAAGCGAGACAAACCCATTGTAATACTAATCACTTCCCATGTACCCAAAGTATTCGAACCCGGTACGCTCTGATACCAAGTTGTCACGCCCTCAAAATAATACATAAACCCCCTTTTTTTTTTACATGCATTCATATAAAATAAACCAACCATTTAATTTCATCAGAGTAAACTTTACAATGGTATTACATGTTAACAACAAAAGCAAATGCCCTATAGGCTTACAGCTTTCCAAGTCAACACTTGGTTACACAAAAGAAGAGTACTAACTCTATACAAAAGAAGCCCTTGGCTTGATGTACAGGTAATATAAAACAAAATAAACAAAAGGAGTCTTCAACTCCCACATCCATCCAAGCTACGTCCTTGGAGGTGGCATGCTACCTGTACCTGAAAATAATGTCCCATATAGGGTGAGCCAACGCCCAGTGGAGATATGCTAAACACAGTATGAGCAATAACTAAGACATTAGCAATTGATAAATGTTCAATTCCATACATCAATTCATAACCCTTTTCCCATTACAAGACCACTATGTCCATGTTTCATTTCATTTTCCATTTCTTATCAATTCCACAATTTACATTAACGGCTCAGAGCCTAGTCATTCACTTATATGAGACCATGACTTATATTAAACATTTCCCATTCTACAATAGATAAACATATTAGTTGTATCAACATTTCAACAGATAAGCACACAAGTTGTATCCACATTTCAACAGATAAGCATACAAGCTGTATCAACACTTCCAAAGATAAGCATATGAGCTCTATCTTCACTTCTCTAGACAAGCATATGAGCTCTGTCTACGGAGTACATCCCCTATCTCCTCCAAATACCTATCCGGTTTAGAGGCACATCCCC